TTTTTTTTACAAAACAAATTTCATTCCAAAAACTCATAAAATCGTGACTGCATGTAGTTATGTCAATAGTGCAAAACACTTACATGGTTATCACTATTCTCCCATTTTGTCTGGTGGTCTGATCCCGATAACTCTCCTCGAACGATAAAAAATAAACTGGCCCTGAGACCTATTTGAATATGTTATGTATAAATATAAAAATTCTTTACACATTTACAGGGCACTTTCCGAACACTATTAGTTTCCACTGCATAATTTTTTTTCGTATTTACTAATTGATCATGCATTCTAATTACTTGAATGCGCCTATACAGAGTGAAATTAATAAACTCACGATGATTTATAATAATTTCGATCGAAATTAATTTAAATTAAATCTTTAGTTAGATGATCGAAGACAATCGAACTCTGTTTTGTTTTTTATTTATTTATATACCATATATTTTTATTAGATTTGAACGATATATATACTGTAAAAACCTTATGACCAAAGATTAAAATACTAAGTCTCATTTAATCGTGAAGCTATAATATATATTTAGATAAAACAATAAAAACCAAAAAATAAACGTTATAAATTATTTAGTAACAAAGTAAAAAAATATTAATTTTTTAATTTGTCATCATTCCATTCTTTCATTTTTAAATAACACAATTTTTTTTAGAGGTACCTATTTAAAAAAAATTATCATAAATGTATGATTTGTTTTGTTAATTTTCGATTTAAAAATAATATAACTTCTCTTTTCTTATTGATACGAAAATTTATCGCAATTGGCAAATGTCTGTATCCTATATGTAAATATTAATTCCTTCCATATTAAGTAAATGAAAATTTAATTTTTACTTTTTTCAGTCTTCTACAGAGGCAAAAATATTCATATTGTAATATACCTACATATTTTGTTGAGCGTTAAATATTTTAAGCATTTTGGAATCCAAGTAGGGTTTCGGAAAGCTCCATGCCAACTCGATGTGTTGCTCTTAAATATACATCAGATGTTCCAAATTAGTGCTTGTATTTATATGCGTTTGTGTGTGTTTCCTTAAAATGTAACTACAGATTTATAGCGTCAGATTGTATAATTAGTCAAGTATTCCCATATTTCAATAGCGTTCCCAAAATATGAAAAAAAACCGTCTCGTTCTGATTGTGGTGAACACAACTCGTAGTTGACTATTCGGCTTAAGACCATTCACTGTCCTCCACTGCCAGCCAACAAGCTAGCCAACCTGTAGATGACGTCCATCAATTATTGCTGATATTTTTGTTCTGTTTTAAACTGATATTTTTAAAATATCAATTTTTGAAAATAAAAATAAAATCATTACAAATTTGTATAGTCGATGTGAGACTAAATTTCACAGTTATTCGAATGTAGTTGTCTGCGAAAATCTTAAAATAATTTGTGTGATCCTAAGCATTTAATTTTCATTACAAATTATAAATAATATTATATACAATTATATCAACTTCTTGGTCTATTTTATCTGATGATTTTTATCTATTAGACGTGTAAATTAAATTACGAGTATACAAACTCGTCTTGTTTACGTAGAAAGAAAAAAAGAAATTTAACAATAAAAAATTGTTGGCGAATTTGTTAAGTTTAAAACATTCAAAATATTTTTGGTCTAATTTTACATCTTTGTATACTCATTCTTAAACGATTTTGTAATTTCGTGTACTTAACTCGAATGGAGAATTACAGACCATTTAAAAAGATTATTATGTGTTTCTTGTTAAAAGTGCCCTAAGTCATTAAAAAATTTAATTGTTTGACATAAAATGTTTTACTTCCCAGAATTAACACAATATTGATGTAATTCTATAAATGCTATATGTTATTAATAAGCATTTTTCTAGTGACTATTAATATGTTGTGATCAATATGTTTGGTATTTTAGTTTATGAGTTTTAACGCGTTCTAAGTTTTATTATTAATATTATTTTCAACTAATAATATTTTTCCGACATATGAAAACAAAACACAGCCCAATTTAGGTGATTCAAAGGATTTTGTAAAATCATATGGCCTTCATGGCACCAAATCTTATTGAAATTTTAATCTTCAATGTAATTATTTCAATCGAATATCCACTGTTAATATTTTTATTGTTTTATGTAATCTTATTAATGAGTTAGTAGTTTATAAGTGATGTAATAAACTATTATTGGTAGTATTTAATCAGATACGAGGTAACGACATTTATCAAAATACTAAAATGTTTTGGTACTTAGTGTCAATCGATATAATACTCGAGTAAATATTAAATATAACTTAAACAGTATAAAAGAAATTTGTTTTCTATTATTTGAATATTTTCAATTATAATTTGGTAAAACAATAATCAGAATACAGATTACTCGAAAGTTTTTCTATTATTTTAGCATATGTTAATTTATAGTGTCTGCTAATTGCCAAAATATTACAAATATTATGTCGAAAAAAATCAAGTAAAATAAATTACATTTATCCGGTAATCCGACAACATTAATCTTAGGCATCTTTTAAGAGCGACAAATCATTGACAAGGTGTTGGCCCTCTAGCAATAAATGTTAATATTTCATCTATCAAAATTGTTGACGCGATGCGTTGAAAAGAACTAATTGGTAGTGATCGGTTTCAAATTTGGCATGTTTCCTAAACTAAAATCTTTTTCTTGCGTAAGAGCTATGTTATATTCCGATTATTCACCAAATCAACGGGCCAAACATGTTGCGAATGCGTTCTTTATGAAATGAAGAGTGTTATGATTTATTTTAGATAATTTCACGATAATATTTTTTGACTTAATATCAAATTATAAGATAAAAACATTTCACTTTAGAGTCACCAAAAATTGATTAAATATTTAAATAATTTAGCCTGATAAAAATCAAATAACAACAATTTCGTTTCGTCCCGATAACTATATCTTGAATGGTAAAGAGGTTAATAGTGTTGAAGCAAGACTACACCAAATAATTGGGTTGATTCTTCTATAGTAAATTATATAATGTTTAGTAAATACATTTCACCGTTAAGGTCTCACTGTACAAAATTACTCCTGACAGTGCGACTGATATAAATCCGCAGTACGTTTCTATAATGTTTACTATCGAAGTACGAGTTGATTTACAATATTCTCTCTCCGAACATTCGTTAACACTTCGAAATGTCCGCGCGAACGCAGAGCCGTGCGAAACCGTGTGAGCATAAAATGTTGTACGTTGCAATGGAATCGTATAACCACGTGGGTCCGCCGAGGTGTCTAATGATGATCCAAAGAAAAAATTGCGAACAAAACGTTATAACTGCATCGTCGCAATCCAATTGAGATCAACGTTGACCCGTCGTTGGTCCAGCAAAATCGTTCAAAATAACTTTCGAAGGGTGCTAACGAAGAACAACGACGTACGGGGACTTGCCCATATGTAATTAAAACAACGACCCCGTGAAATTTTGTGCCGAAAAGAGTGGCGTTACACAACAACTGCGAGGAGCACCGGTGCTGAGTGGGATTCTTCGAAGTCCTTTTTCCTTGAACCGGATATGCACCAAGTCGGACATGTGGTGCGGAAGAAAGTGGTGAACGGGTTGGCAGATGGCGTGGGTGTGCTAATGTCGTAACACAATATTTATAATATAAATATATATATAAATACAAGTATATAATTATGTCCCTTGGATTGTTGCCCGAAAGCGGCACGGGCCGATGGTTGCAATAATCCTAACACCCACAATCCAGTTGCGGCCTGTCCCCTCTGCGAGGATCATTAACGCGGTCTACCCGCTCCATACCGCGCATCAACGTGCCCCCGGTCGTCGCGTTATATAATATGCACAACAATAACTTTTAACGGGACCCCGAGCCAACGAATTATAAATAAAGCGCGTTTTCCGCCGATCTTTTTCTTTCTTTCTGTTTCTCGTCTCTTCTGTCGCCGTTTTTTTTTTTTTTTAATTTTTAATCATTTATTTTTATTTCATTTTTTTCTAATACAATTTTCTCCACTCCTCGACGCGTCCGATTTGACTTCCGTCCCGTCGCTCACCGTGACCGTAGTGAATCCAAAACCGAGCACGCCGCCACACTGCCACCCGTATAGTACGCGCGCGTAAGCATACTGCAAGCACACTCGCAAGACCGACTTCACTCTACCAAAAACACGCGTTGGGCTCATTGTTGTTATAATACCACTACATATTATCAACCATCGCCGTCACCGTTCACACATCACCGATCGCGCGCGCCAAACAGAACGCCGAACGTGGCCCTATGCAGTAGTAAGTGCCACACACGCCCAAACTCATCTGCAACTACTGTTTGACCGGTGAATATATTACAATAGCAATAACAATAATAATATAAAAAAATAATAATCGACTCGGTGGATATGTCGACAATATATTATAATAAGCTACGACTGATCAGCCCTCGGAAAAACGAAGACGGCGTATTCAATGTGTTTTGTAATACCGTAAACCGTTGTCGCGACTAACCATTAAAAAGTGTATTTTTTTTCGATTTATTTAGATATTATATATGCGTGTGTATGTGTGCGTGTGTGTTTTATCCGTGGTAGATAAAACGTATCGATCATGCGGTGTACATAACGATTTAATTGTAATTAATATTACCACTATCACTTGCATGTGTTTGTACATTTATAATATTTTATGTTACCTAATATAATATGTTTTCGTAACACGTGTCGAACCGTTGACGGGAGCTTTTACCGCAATCCCGTTTAATGTGTTCATGTGAATACTTCACAATTTGATAATAATCACATTGATCCCTCGACGTCTTTACCACGTGTATAATACCCGAAAAGTTTGCGGCTTGAGAACTACTTCTTTCCTATTTCTCTCTCTCTCTCTCTCTCTCTCTCTCTCTTTGCATTAGTCTATAAACACTGTACACTACAGTCATTATTAATTCTCTGTGCGTAATAATATGTCAATAATATATTTAATGTGTGGAAATTGCGTTTGTTGCGCGTGTTCGACAGGCCACTAGAGCTGCGGAAGAGACAGTCGCGACCAGACGGTTGCCCAGAGATTTTGCGGAGCAACTGCGTATCGACGAGTACACGCAACAGCTGCAACAGCAGACGTCGTCGACGACCACAACCTCCACCGAGTACAGACCAATAGCGTTGGACAAGATACCAGTACCCTCGAGCGGTGGACATTTAACGGGTAAGACTTAAATACGCCTTTGGTGGCGGCGGTGTTATCGCCGGACTTTAGCTGTTTTAGCTTACATCCTTCCCCCCTAATGGCCCCCACTTAAAACTGGCAATTATTCAACTGTGACGTAAATCGCGAAACCTATTTATACGTTTATAATGCATATTTCGTATAATATATATATATATACAACCGTATAATTATATGAGAAATAAATATCATAATAAGCTAATAAAGTTAACGAGACGATGCAAACTTTTTTCGGTGTACGTTGTTTGGTGGTAGGGTGCGTGTTTTCTCTGGAGGCGTATATAAAATAGCAGAGATTTATCGTCTCTACTATCGCAATGTATGTCTGTATGCGTGCGTATATATATATATATATATATATATATATATATATGTGTGTGTGTGTGTGTGTGTGTGTGTGTCAATTTATTTTCGTCTTTACGTGCATACAAACGCTCTCTTGCGCGTATTGGGTTCGAAAACTCCGTTAAATGTGTACACGTATTATTATGATTTCATAGTGTTCAATTATAATATTTTCAAGAGCCTCATACCTGACAAAATTATTATATCTACGTCCTGAACGGATGCGGATCGATATTATCCCCATCGCAGGATCGCGGCTCATGCAAGTGATTACATGCGTATCGTTCGCGTCCGTCGCAACAACAGTACATAATCAACGTTCAGACGATACTTATTGAGCTCCGTTTGAACCGGATCGCTTGTACAGCGGGGAAACTCGTGCATGTGAAAAGTTTAGCTCTCGCACACTGAGCAGTGATATTTGGCCACATCTTCCGCACCGAACCGTGATATTGTTATTTTTTTTATGTGAAATACGTACATAACTTTATCAAATCACGTTCAAAATAATAGATAAGAATAATAATTGATAATAATATTATTTTATATCTAACGCGAAGTGATATTGTCTTGGTTTGTATATCATATACTTATTATTCACGTTCAACGCGCATGGCTGTTTTCAACATTTGCCCGTTTTAATGGGTTGGTTATATGTTGATTGAATACTTGTACTCGTATATAAATTTGAGCTCGTGTGGTATATCGCTATACGCTAAGAATTGACGAGTAGCAAGTTAACGCTTATAACTTTTTCGATATAATCTTCAACAAAGAATACTTTTTCATGTGTTTTCCAGAAAAATGTAAACATTCTATCCAACAATACCTAGTTTTTAACAAAGATTGAATTACTATAGGCAACAATTATCGCTTTAATTGCGTTAAAACGGTTTTATCAAATTTGAATATATATATTTGCATTTTATGCAAATAAAATGTGATTATAGTTTAACGGTTATTATTTTGTTTTTTTTTTTCTTACAACCATCATAACCAGAATCAACCAATTCATTTGTGTAACCAGAATTACTCTTATTTAGTAAAATCAGTGAATAATTAATTTTTATTCGCGCATAGAAATCTAGGTACACCATTTTAACGAGAAGTTGAAGTAAAGTGTAAAGATTTTAACAAAATATAAAAATATGTCTCCGGATCTTTTCATTTCAACTCACTCGCGTGCTACCGTCTCGGTCCATTATACATCAACTAATAACAATAATTGTAATGTTTACAAAATAATTCAATTTAAATAAAGATTGTTGTATGAGTAGTACAGACAGAGACAGCTGGAGGTTAATAAATGAAAGAACATTTGATTTCATTCCAAATAATACTTAAGAACAATTCGAAAATAGTCGAATTCCGAGGTCGTTCTATTTTAAAAAATATATGATTTCCATTAAAACGTCAAAAACTATTAAACGCTTACGTGGAATGCAGTGTAAAATTACAATTATTCCAATTTATTTTGTATTTATTTTATAAAACCAAAGACTGAACGGTAACTACTTGTGATAGCTTCGCATATTTTAAAATATTTATACTATTCCGACCGATCTCCATACGCGTTTAATCATTTGACACATTAAAATGAAAATAAAACGACGCTCACTCAACTTTTTAGTTGTACAAACCTATTGATTGCTTATAGTTGACGTCTCCGAGCAATTAATAAATATTATAAATATTCATACGCAGTTGTGTACAAAACGAATAGGCGTCTGAAATTTAGTATTAAATACTATAATAACTGTAGTTACATTGATGATTTTATGAAGTGTCACAAAGTTGTCAAAACTTATGTACGACATGTAACGTGTTTATAATATTCAACAATTCAACAACACATCTTTGATTTTCCTATCACTTTCAAAAACTGATTCAGTTGAAATTCAGAGATCACCAAGTACAATTGTACACATTAAAATAGCGTTGAATATGTAAACTTTTCTAAGAGTAATGCGGTAGAAGCCATGAGGCTTACGATCTAAATAAATGTTTGTAATAATTCTAAGAAGAAGATACAACACTTTTTTTTGCAATAGTGTCTGACGTGAAAAAAAATAAAAAATTAAAATAAAATACAACTGTTCAACTAAACTAATTATCAGTTATATTGAAATGTCCTGACTAAATAATAACCCATTATACTAGAACATCTATGTTAGCGAATAGCCTACTGCATACTTGTACTTATACTGATAATAAACCTTTGAAGTCATGTATTTGTCGATAGGAATTTTTTTCTCGACGTCACGAATCAAACTCGTCTCAAACTCGAATAAACGTCATGGAAACATTTACATTCACGTATAGTCAGAGGTATTTTTACTGCCACCCTTACTCTTAAAAGATCCTTAGATGATTTATTTCACACCTGTAACATGATCCATTTCTCTTTCACACACTAACATTTACCAGAGTGTTATAACAAGCAGCTCTTTCGATCATACTAAATCGTAGGCCTTATTTTTGGTACGTTCCCAAACCGTTTAGTTGCTAAACACAACCAGTAAATATGGAGGCATAATATTTGCGACTGTGAATAAAATAATTTATTTATACAAGGATTTTCTTTTTTTTTCTTTAAACACTTTATCGGCCCATAAAATTATACGACAGCATATCGGAAATCTTTTCCAGAATATAGTATTCGAAAATCAATAATTATTTTCATTAAGATCCGATATACTATGTCCCATATACATTTAAATTTATGACTTTATGAGTAACTATTGAATAATGAGCCGTGATGCTAATAAAGGTTTTATTTTTTGAGCGAGTTTAAAAAACATTTCCGATCAAGGAATCGAGCTCAAGAACGTCAAGGAATATCGAAATTAGATGAAAATTTAAGGTGCCTTGTTAATTTCAATTAAAATATAATGAGAAGTTTATAAATGTTTTTTTTACATAAATTAATGTTTATAATATGGTTGTAAGAATAAAAAAAACACCCGTTAAACGAGAATCACATTTTAAATAATAATTGTATAAAAGGGGCTTTTCACGTAAACACACAAAACGTGAAAGTTTAAATATTTCACTCGAAATTGGGTCTGGTTACATATTAATTTAATAAAACCGCTGTATTCTAAACTGCGTTTCAACATTTACCTTTGAATGTCATGCCAAGAATTTATTAATATTTGTCATAAATCTACACGTTCTTTTATCTAACTTTATTTTTTCTTTTATCATGTATAATTGCCTTCGAGATGGTTTTAAAAATAATGTTTTCTTTGTGAAAAAAAAAAAAAGGTGTTTCATTAAAATTATAAATACCTTACTGGTTTTTATTTTTATTCTTACATATTGTATTAATATTCTGTTTTTACCATTTACTCCGTATAGCACACGGAATTATATTAATAGAAACTTTAATGTTCCCACGTGATTTTGCCTAGAATATTAATGTCATAAACAGCAACAATTTATCCTCGTGTCGAATAAACACCTTTATTTCTTCTCATTTCAAAACATAGACGAAGTACAAATAAAACTACAAGTTATATATTATACTCATCCGCATAATTCATTAGTTGTAGCTATATTAATAGTAATACTTGTTTATTCACGCGTGAAGTATGATGTGAAGGTATCTTTAACACGGTCACGCTGCTGCGAACAAAAAATTAAGTATGCCAAAAAACTGAAACGTTATATTTTATTTCTTATATTTATAAAAACTTAGATACTTTTTACTATGCTTTACACACCATCCTCGCATTTGAAACAATTCAAAATTCAAATAACCATAAGATTCCGATGATTTTAAATGAAATGAATATAATCGATAATTGTATCAACCTAACCTGATCATAATCCATTAAATTCTTTATAAAATAACATTTTATTGATTTTCTTTGTATAATTTTAGATCACTGAAAGTTTTATTTAGTTCTAAATACCTAATTTATGATTTTAACTTAATTTAAATATTTATTGCTTTCATAATTTTTATGAATTATTATTATTTATAATTATATATAATTATTTAATTGTTTAAATTTTTTTTTTTATTTCATTCGCAAATATTTGTTGTCCTTAGATATACTGATTAATTATTTTGTTATTTAACTTAAGTACCTAACCTAGTAGGTAATACAAATGTAAGAACCTAAATATTTAATAAAAATTTCTAAGTTTGAACATTTTGAACGAATATTTTTACCTCTATAATTTATAGAGAACATTTGTGCAATGTATAATCCGATAAACAATATATATAGTTTATTCAGTATTCAGTAATAGTATATAGTATATAGTTATTCCTGATGAGTTATGCAAACTAAAAGAAATTATTTTTAATTTTTTTATTTTATTTTTTCATCCGTATGAATTAAAATTACTAAATATCGATGTATACAATATAAATAATATTTTTTAATATTTATATTACGTCAAAAATGATCCGAAAATAAAATATATAAGGGTAAGAAAAAAAGTACCGAAATATTTTTAATTATTTTACCAAAAAAATAAATAAGTATTTTGGGTATTTTGTGTATCATGTAAAAATGTTTAAGGGTATTTAAATTACTTCTGGATCGATGGATTCCAAAAATATTGAAAATATCAAACATAGTAGATATTCGAATAAATAACATGCTTGGAAAAATGAATCG